TATAATCCAATAAATATTAATCGAAGACTTGCGAAACTTTTAAAGCTACAAATTCTATTAGTGCAAAACGATTTCTTATTGATTAAGCTACATTTACACACATATATATGATATATGTTTAGCTTCACTCTTTTGAAATTTAAAGGCATCATCAGTTTTCCTTATATATCGCTGTTCCGGACAATAGACAACAAAACGGAATGAAATACGAAAAGGACCTGATACAAGGCCTACCTTTTATACGTGAGATTCCAGAGGCACGGTGAACATCGTAGGCTCAGGTAGACTTTGAGGTCGCGCCCCAATAAGATGCTGCCTCAATGCGACAACCATATTTTCGGGTCCTACGAGACTCACTTCGAAAAAGAGCCTCTCACGTCTTGTCGAACTGAGATCTGGAGAGCTGGTACGTAAAGATGACGTTTTCTCTGTAATAGAGTCTCTTTCAGCATCCGATTTTTCTTGTTGATGTCTGTTATCCAGCCAACTGACTTTGTCGAAATCTTTGGTGCCCCCCACTGTGTGTCTTCGTTTAATCGATCTTTCAGGCATGCCATTTTTCCGTTTAAGTTTTGTAACCTCCTTATTTCCCCGTCGGGTCAACTGTTCGCGTCTCTTGTTTAAATTACTTTCGGTCTTTTCATGTTTGGTAAGACTTTCGTGCTTCTTAGATCGCTCTGAAGGAGTTTTATTTAAACTTTCCGACCTTTTCAGCTTACTGCCTGGTACAGAAACGCTAGAGCTACGCTCTGGTTTATTCAACGACTCCGAACGTTTTAATTTTGAAGCGTTAACTTCAAAATTTGCGCATTTTTTCTTTTTCGTAATATCCTTATCGTTATCCGGGATACCATCTGTCGAGTCCTTATCTTTTTCTTCGACATCGCTCTCTTTAGATGACTTGTCGTCTTTATCGTTTGGAAGCTCGCTAATATTAAACGCAGCTGCAAGGACACTCTTGTGTAGACTGGGATTGCGATAGAGTTTTGGTGAACTGGGGGACACCAGCTGAGAACTGTCACGTAACTGTTTACAGGTAGTCTGAGTTTTAGGAGTGTCGTGGACCTGGTCGTCGTTTGCTGCTAGAGGATTCAACATCTTCTTCTTTTTATCGAATATTTCCATTATAGATGCTTGAAGGTCGTTACCTTCGATAAGGGAAATAATATCCATTAGGAAAATTGAGAAATTGGAAAGAACATAACTTTAAAGCTTAAAAGATCATAAGATAGTTTGTACAGCCTCAAAGTTTCAGGATAAACTAAAAAAATTAAAAAAAAGTTAACCGTAGTATTTCTTTATGTAATATGCAAAGTGGATGTTTAATTAGAAAATTTTGTGTATTTAGTAAGAAAGCGCAGTCATTTATTACTACACGAGTCTAAAAAAGCGAAACAAAACAAGCTATAAAACCCACAAATAATATTAATCAACAAAATTTATTAAAACACTGAAAACAAAAACTTCATACATGAATGATGATTAGTAAATTGCAAATTAGCAATGGTGTTTATGTTTCGAGTTAAAATAGTTTATATTAAATTCAGGAGTTTTAGGGGTTAAAACACATGTTCACGTTCATGGAAAGGGTGAGCTTTCTTGGTGCCAAATATTAGTTAAAAAAAAACAGTTTAAAGAACACCAAATTTCAAGGAAAAAATCTGGAATTTATAGTGTTCAGTTGTTTTACACGTTTTTGTTGGTAATTAAAAATAGGAGAAAAAAATCGTAATGACTATCGTAGGGATATGGAAAAAACCACGTCAAAAATGATTATTGGAATAAGTTGAAATTATTTATATATGAAAAACAAAGAAATCAGTCCAATGTTAAAATTTTATATACATATGCTCGTGTACGTGACGTACTCCAATAATCATTTTTGGTGTGTATTTTTTCATATAACTATGTAATCATTAGCAATTTATTTTTTCCCGTGAAGAACAAGTATACCTGGGGTTAACAAATTTTGATCATTTAATGCTTATACGACTGATTAAGATTAATCAACAAGAAGAAACGCAAAGCGTGTCATTTTTGTATTAAAAAAAATATGTTTTTGCAAAAATTAAGCGGTACACAAAAGTACCTCAGTGACGACGTAACGAGTGGGTACGCGGTGGACGAACGGGAGCCGCGGCACTTGACGGGGGCCGTACGGAACGCCACCCACGCACTGTCGGCACGGGGGCCCTAAATCCTAATAACGGACAATACAATACCATTTCACATAAACGAACGAAGAAAGACAAAACAATAAAAAATTAGGAATGATAAATTTGTGGCAGAAAGGAGAAAAAGAAATTACGAGGAGAGAAGTGAAAAGAACATGGAAACTCACCTTCATCTGTACAATTAATCTTGTGAATGGAATCTAGAGATCCTGACCTTTGATTAAGGTCATTCTGAAATGATAGTAAAATTTTCAGAAAAACGTTTTTGCTCTAAATAATCTAAAAAAGTTGCCAAGATATGTATGTTCATAAATATATATATAGACCAATTTTTTAATTCTTTTCTCCTTACCTCATTTCCGTATCTAATTTTCTTCACGTTAGCATTTGCACTGTTACTTGCAGCTTCTATAACGGCCCTGTGAACGTTTTCCATCGAACTTGTGATCCTTTGTCGCCCAGTCACATTGTCGTTGTTATTATTGTTTATATTGCTCCCTCCCACACGATACACACCCCCTTTATTCTTTAGGACATCGGAGCCGTTAATTTTCATTCCACCCACAGGTACGTTTTCGTATTGTACCCCGTTGCCTGCCGGCACCGTGTATATCGAGTTCGAACCAGCAGAGGAAAAATTGGATCCTGGTAAACTGGCCAGGAAGTTTTCCAGGCTTGGATTAGCGTAAAGTTCCGTTTTCCGGGAACGTTGCAGATTCGCTTGCGTCTCTTGAATGAAGTTTTCTATGCGACGACGGAAATTTTCTTGATCTGCAGAATAATTGAACCACGGCACTTTTTCCGACTGACTTGAGGATGACGTGAGGGGAGGTTTTTCCATATCCACTACAGTAGTCGGAATAATATGAGCCCGGGTTTTGGTCTCTGCAGATGGATTATTCTTCAAAAAAGAAAACAATTAACAACAGCGATGTACTATGTCTAAAACACCCTTACCTCCTTTAAAACCGAAGGAACGTTACTTTGATATGTAAATTCTTTGTTTTCAGTAGTGGTAGAGTCTTCTTTCATTTCTTGAGAACTCGGGACGCTTTTCATCGTTTTCCTCATTACTTTCCGATGAGCCGCTGATATAATGGATGATAGAATTTCCTTCTTTTCTTTTTGGTCTTTAAGATTTTCAATTTTGCTTATGTTGTCCAACAAAAGAGCTTTGCTGGATGCCATTTCAGATTCAGTCTGCGTTTCTTCTGTTGGTACGGAGGTCATGCCTAAATTTAAAGGAACCGACGGATCTTCCGAAAAGAACCAGTCCGCCTGTAACAACAATAATAAAATCACACTAAACAAACACTAAAAACAAAAACGATTAAATTCTTACGTGGCAAATCAGGGATTCGACGATCCTATAATTATGATTGATATCATTGACCATGGTGGCCATGTCATCTTCTGAAGTACGAAACAGTGTTGGGCCGAAAACGATGGCCAAGTTTTTGCCTTCCATTTTGTTGATATGCCCTTTGTCCGTGACTTTTTTCAGATGGAGCATTAGATGCTTGAGTGTGTGGTAATGATGAGGTGGAAGCTGATTAACGACTTTTTTAAGTTCTTGCATGCGCAGATAGGGATTTTCAATCTTGTCCGCTTCTATAAACTTGGAATAAAGTAGTTTCGTTAGTAGAGCGTCCGGTAATTTCCTAAAGAACGATTTCAGGAGACTGCTTACTACATGTATATCATTCCAGTGAGAGTCTGAAGAAGGAACTCCTACACCCAAAAGAAGAATATATGTTTAGCATACGTGAAGTGTTTTATTTATTATTTTTTCACCCACCATCGTAACACTGGTTGACTGCATTGGTAAGAGCCGTGATTGCTGCATTGTTACCAGGGACCCTGTAAATTCCTATGGTTTCTAAACCCTTATTCTCAACAATTTCGGTACACACTTCCACTATCCGCGGAATATACTGGTTCCTGTAGGAAGGATAGCACTGTTCCAGGGGAACTCCAAAAGTTGATCCTTCAGGAGCTACGGGGGAGCTGGGCGAACTCGCGCCTTGTATTTTACGGATTTGCTTGACCATGCGCCCCCGCCAAGTCTTCGGTTTCGGACTGACGGGCCCAACGGCACCTCCACTTCCGTCAATGGCCGAATGCGACAAGGACTTGCGAGTCTTGCTAACCGGCGACTGGCCTGTGGGCGAGCGATTGCGCAAATTAGGTAATTTTGATTTGTTCGAAGACGATGGCGATAACCTACTTGATCCTTGCACTTGGATCGTTGTGGATGCGGGCACTTGTTGCGGCACAGCCTGTTGCTTTGTAGGAGATGACAGAGGATCCTAAAGAACAAAACAAAAAAATATAGACCTTTCTTTACTCACAACACTGTCACCCGGTTTAATAGACTAACGATTTTTATTTTGTGGCTCGCCTACCATAAGCACTCTCAAGCCATCAGTGGTTTCGTAAAATAGCACGTTCCCTTCGAAAACGGGGTGCTTATATTGCGACTTCAAGATCTTCTTGACATACTTTTTCATTGTTACAGTACTCTTACAACTCTTTACATTTTTTATTATTCGTTTCTCATTTTCATTCATTCACTAAACAATTCAGCAACCGCACTAGATAACGAATACTGTAATGTACAAAAATTGTATTATCAAACACCTTAAGAGCTCATGTTATCAGATAAAGTTTAATTATCGTCATAATTACAGATGGAACGGAAAACAGAGAGAGATAGGGAAACGATATAGTTGTAGAAAATGCCACTAACATTTAGTTTTTTGATGCTGTAAGTAGTAAATAAGGAGGAAAAAATGAAAATTACTCACAATTTTTTCTTCAACATCTGTCGTCGCTGCCACTTGCTCCTGGAGCGCTTTGACCCAATCGGCCAGATCGAGTGTGTTGTCCGCCTGGAGCAGAATCTCTGAGCGGCACGGTAATGCCGAGGACACCCGGAGGACGTGCTTCCTCTTGGTGTAGTCTTCTGCGACACGCACGCAACTCGCTCTCATGTCCACGCCGTTCGATAACGTTTGATCGGCGGAATCGGATGGACTCTGAATGTCAAGAAAAGTTCGATAAATAAAAAGGACAAAGCAAAAAGACTAAATGACGGGGATGGCTCGTTCATCGCTCGTGAGACAATAACCATGGTAGTAAGTAGTTAGTGAAATCGTTGGCTGATCTTGGCACTGAAGGAGGCCATTTATTTTTAGAGGGCTGCCAACAACACGCACACACACAAAAATAAATCTATGTATGTAAGGACATCTCTCAATCTATCTATCTTTTTGTCTGTCGTCGACGCGTTTCTATGTACGTGTACTTATGAATGACAAATGAATCACTTTACTTTTGTTACAATTTAGCGACGAAAATCACGAGAGGGAAACAAAAACTAATAAAGAGAATGCAGTTATTTTTAGTGAACATAAAATTAAATATTTACGCTTTAATAAAAGGCAAACAATTCCCTTTATCTACCATTACATACCCATGACCTAACTGAATGGGAACTCCAGGGAAGAAGTTTTTTATACAGGAATTTGTGTCCAGGAAAATGAAGGTGTATCGGCGAACATGTCCCATGAACAGACCTATTACTGCACTTTCCTGCACTTAAAAGATTACAATCTACGTTTTCCAGCATTTTCCTTTTTCGAAATCATCAACAACGACAAGTAACAAATCCTTAATATCTTAATATTATGTTAACACCTGCGGACAATCGCAACACAAAACTACATCGAATTGTTTAATAAAAACTACCAAAACTAATATTAACACACTCGTCGGTAATGTTATTTATTATTCGTCGAGCACTCGCGAAAAACAACTTCCGCACTAAATGGAATTGTGTTTCCTATTGCTGGCAAAATATCAACACAGCGACCCGCCGACTGATTCAATATTTCCTTTATTGTACTTTTTTGTTAATTTGTGCACACGCTTGCAAAAATAATGTATCAAAGTACAAATCGGGGAATGCATTCAAAAGCTTCGCTGGGCGAAATAGAAACTTCTTCTGTGCATATAGGTACAATACATAATGCAATTCTTAATTGATGACTAATGGCCAAAAGGGTGTAAAGGTTTATTTAAACTCGATAAGGAGTCAGATGGTTAAATTTTAATTTTATTACATATTATTCGTTGGATGGTTTAGACGATGGACAAAAGATAAATATTTTAATCTTTACAATCTATTGTTACTTATTGTGATTGATAAATACATATTTTCTATTGTTTACATGCTGTTTACTACGTAATCTGTTGCTTACTGCAATTGCGGTGCCAAAATATGTACACAAAAGTAGATGTACGTATAAATTATCATTTTAAATAATTATTTCTACGATATAATCATCCGTTATTTAATATACCAATTTTTTATTACACCTCCCTCTCGTACGTTTGCGTATTCCCAATAAGTCGAACGAATGTCTACACATAATTTTTACCGGATATTAAATAATCACACACATGCCAACTACGGTATGTTGAACTTTGAGACCAAGCAATAANTTACCACTCCGATTTTGTTAACCTGTAGTGTACTCAGGACGTTTCTATTTCATACTACCCAGTAAGATACATATTCTCTATTTGTAGTATAAAAATGGCATTTTTACGTTTCCTTCTACCACTGTGACATCCTACAGTGTAAGACGATATCTAGGACTAGCCCCTCACGTATAGAATAGAGTTTGTTTATTGATCCTGTAAAATGAAATGATATGTTATATTGATCAACAATCCTTACATAATTTAGTCACCATAATAAATGTTAATAGCAGGAAATGCTGATGAGATGCAAGTAGCAATTAATCAAACTTATAACTTAAATAATAAATGCATGTGCCTTCATTTCTTAATGCAAACAAAGCAAACGAATTAACCCTATCAAACAGTACTTAATTAGTTAATAAACTTAAACAAAATAAAAACCATAGATAATACGAGCCGCCCTGCTTAAACAAGGATAAAATATGAAGTTGGTTATTTAACATATATTTGATGAACATGAAGATAGGGATATACGTACTATAGTAGTTGTCAATGTAAGGACAACATAGGAATTTTATACATTTATAGGTTTTAATTTTTAATTAGTAATTAATACAGTTAATACGTTACACATTACATTTAACTACTAAGACTAAGACTTGAGAGGTAATAATAGTTAGGTTATTGCAGATAATTAAGCATTAGGATTAGTATGTCCCAGACTGTTGTGTACATTTTATATTATGAATGTCATTATTGACCTAACCTGTTTGATTTTTCAGGTGTTTTGTGATGAAATGGGAAGGAAAATTATTTAACTGTAAAAACATAGAAATAAGATATAGCAAATCAAAATTGTTGGATTACTACTTACATATTTTAAAAATTTAAAAATGCCTTGTTCTAAATGCAAATCTGACTTCACATTGTTAACCTGGAAGCTAAGGTGTCTGGAATGCAGTTTATTTTATTGTTCCAAATGCTTAAAAAAGACCCAAGGGTAAGTATGATAATTGATGAATTTAAAATGTTCATTAAAAATTATTAATTTAAAAGGGTTCATTTATGTGAAAAGTGCACTATATTAAACAAAAGGCCTCCAGAACGAGAGAAGCTCATGGAATTAAAATCAAAAGACATTCAGTCCTACTTAAACAGAAGGAACATATCAACATATGGTTTTGTTGAAAAGGCAGAAATTGTGGATTTGTTTTACAAAAAATCAATTCCAACTCATTCAAAGAAGAGTCCCACTTCACTTTCATCTGTCTTTGGAGGTTCTGTTCCTAATTTAGTTGCTGAGACTGAGGAACGGCTTAGTAAAGTTGCAAGTAATTTGGAGAGTAACCTCAATAATATTAGAGGTGAATATGTCCACCTTTTTCTTGTATTTTTCTTAAAATTCAGTAATTAGCATGACTAATAGCTATAACCAAAGCAAATGCTCATCAGTCTTTATATTTTAGACTATACTGAGGCAGCCTACAATAATTTAATACAACCTAACTACAGTGGGAGATCTAATTCTAATAATATCCCTAATAATAATACTTTTTCAACTAGTCCTAGCGGATCTCAGAGGAGACATTCTGATAATGCCTCAGCTTCTTCTAACTCTCAAAACACTCATGTAAATGTTACATAAATAATTTTGTTACTCATATACTTTAATTAAGCAATACATAAGATGCATTTTCAGGAATATCAACAGGATTCTTTTGAAGCTCGACCACAATTCCTAAAACTATCCGACATACATTCCATAGAAGAAATAGAAGCATTATCAGTAAAGCAATTAAAGCAACTCCTTTCCTTAAATAGAGTCAACTATAAGGGAGTTGTTGAAAGAAATGAGCTATTAGAAAAGACTATAGCCTTGTGGATTGAAAGTCATAAAGATAGTGGCAATAATGGTGAGTAAAATTTTAACAAAAAATTACAGTTTAGGGAAGTATTTTAGGAAAAACTAACTGCCTTTTAGTTGCTCTTTAAATAAATTATTATTTGTATATTTACTGAGTTTTAAAAAATACTAACGATTTGTTTAGGTGATGTTTCCAACAAAGATGAGAGCGATTGTTGTAAAATCTGCATGGATGCTCCTTTGGAATGTGTAATCCTTGAGTGTGGTCATATAGCCACATGTGTAGAGTGTGGTAAACAATTATCAGAATGTCCCATTTGTCGGCAATATGTTTCAAGGGTTGTGAGGATCTTTAAAGCCTGATAGTAGGTAACACGATTTTATTCCTTTCTACAATGATCGTTTCATACTTGAGATTTACATCTGAGAAGCAAATATAAATAAACAAACTTAAAATATATTTTCTAACTACTTTTGTATAATTATTAAGGAAAATATCAAAGAGAAAGCTTGTTGTGATTTAAATTATTATAAACATACATATATAATTAAAAATAAAGAAAAAACCATTGAAGGTGAGAATTAGTTTTGTTGCTATTTGTTATTATTTGTCCTTAATAAGTACTTTGTTTATTATAAACAGAGAATGTATCTGAAAGTTCATAATTTGCTTATAATAGTTGCAAGGTGATAATGTTATAAACGGTTATGGACAAGCAGATCGTATTAAATTCATTATTATTCATAGGCGTTGTAGTATTAAATGTTGGTACAAAAAATTATTTAAAGAACGATATGTAAAGTTGCGTACTGAAAAAGAAATATAAATGTATTAAATTTACCTTTAAATATAATCCTTTAATTTGCATTTAAATTAAAATTTAAACAGTGCCTTAGTTATTAGCAATTTGTGAATATATCCCCTATTGTAATGAGAAGTACTATTCTTATCTGCTCTCTGAGTATTTACAAGTTATTAATTAATAAAGTGTTACGTTGCATTGATGTTTTTGTTTTATTTTATTTATAAATGATAGCGCTCTTTCAATAAAATTTTAAAGTGTGAATTCTTAGTTGAAAAGAGAAAGGTTAAAGTTACATTTGCTTCATTTTAAAAATATATTTACAAATTTTACAAATACAACAATAAATACATTCCTTTTTGTACTTACAACTATCAATCCAAAGGAAACAGGAAACTGGAGGGCAAGAACAGGTAGAGGGTTGAGGGACAAGCGATGCTGTGCTACACAAAAACACCACTCGAATGTATACTTAATTAACACTAAACTATAATGTTTTTATATAAGAGAAAATAATAATTGAAGCAATCGTTTCCATATCGTCCACAGTTACCANTTTTAATTTTGAAGCGTTAACTTCAAAATTTGCGCATTTTTTCTTTTTCGTAATATCCTTATCGTTATCCGGGATACCATCTGTCGAGTCCTTATCTTTTTCTTCGACATCGCTCTCTTTAGATGACTTGTCGTCTTTATCGTTTGGAAGCTCGCTAATATTAAACGCAGCTGCAAGGACACTCTTGTGTAGACTGGGATTGCGATAGAGTTTTGGTGAACTGGGGGACACCAGCTGAGAACTGTCACGTAACTGTTTACAGGTAGTCTGAGTTTTAGGAGTGTCGTGGACCTGGTCGTCGTTTGCTGCTAGAGGATTCAACATCTTCTTCTTTTTATCGAATATTTCCATTATAGATGCTTGAAGGTCGTTACCTTCGATAAGGGAAATAATATCCATTAGGAAAATTGAGAAATTGGAAAGAACATAACTTTAAAGCTTAAAAGATCATAAGATAGTTTGTACAGCCTCAAAGTTTCAGGATAAACTAAAAAAATTAAAAAAAAGTTAACCGTAGTATTTCTTTATGTAATATGCAAAGTGGATGTTTAATTAGAAAATTTTGTGTATTTAGTAAGAAAGCGCAGTCATTTATTACTACACGAGTCTAAAAAAGCGAAACAAAACAAGCTATAAAACCCACAAATAATATTAATCAACAAAATTTATTAAAACACTGAAAACAAAAACTTCATACATGAATGATGATTAGTAAATTGCAAATTAGCAATGGTGTTTATGTTTCGAGTTAAAATAGTTTATATTAAATTCAGGAGTTTTAGGGGTTAAAACACATGTTCACGTTCATGGAAAGGGTGAGCTTTCTTGGTGCCAAATATTAGTTAAAAAAAAACAGTTTAAAGAACACCAAATTTCAAGGAAAAAATCTGGAATTTATAGTGTTCAGTTGTTTTACACGTTTTTGTTGGTAATTAAAAATAGGAGAAAAAAATCGTAATGACTATCGTAGGGATATGGAAAAAACCACGTCAAAAATGATTATTGGAATAAGTTGAAATTATTTATATATGAAAAACAAAGAAATCAGTCCAATGTTAAAATTTTATATACATATGCTCGTGTACGTGACGTACTCCAATAATCATTTTTGGTGTGTATTTTTTCATATAACTATGTAATCATTAGCAATTTATTTTTTCCCGTGAAGAACAAGTATACCTGGGGTTAACAAATTTTGATCATTTAATGCTTATACGACTGATTAAGATTAATCAACAAGAAGAAACGCAAAGCGTGTCATTTTTGTATTAAAAAAAATATGTTTTTGCAAAAATTAAGCGGTACACAAAAGTACCTCAGTGACGACGTAACGAGTGGGTACGCGGTGGACGAACGGGAGCCGCGGCACTTGACGGGGGCCGTACGGAACGCCACCCACGCACTGTCGGCACGGGGGCCCTAAATCCTAATAACGGACAATACAATACCATTTCACATAAACGAACGAAGAAAGACAAAACAATAAAAAATTAGGAATGATAAATTTGTGGCAGAAAGGAGAAAAAGAAATTACGAGGAGAGAAGTGAAAAGAACATGGAAACTCACCTTCATCTGTACAATTAATCTTGTGAATGGAATCTAGAGATCCTGACCTTTGATTAAGGTCATTCTGAAATGATAGTAAAATTTTCAGAAAAACGTCTTTGCTCTAAATAATCTAAAAAAGTTGCCAAGATATGTATGTTCATAAATATATATATAGACCAATTTTTTAATTCTTTTCTCCTTACCTCATTTCCGTATCTAATTTTCTTCACGTTAGCATTTGCACTGTTACTTGCAGCTTCTATAACGGCCCTGTGAACGTTTTCCATCGAACTTGTGATCCTTTGTCGCCCAGTCACATTGTCGTTGTTATTATTGTTTATATTGCTCCCTCCCACACGATACACACCCCCTTTATTCTTTAGGACATCGGAGCCGTTAATTTTCATTCCACCCACAGGTACGTTTTCGTATTGTACCCCGTTGCCTGCCGGCACCGTGTATATCGAGTTCGAACCAGCAGAGGAAAAATTGGATCCTGGTAAACTGGCCAGGAAGTTTTCCAGGCTTGGATTAGCGTAAAGTTCCGTTTTCCGGGAACGTTGCAGATTCGCTTGCGTCTCTTGAATGAAGTTTTCTATGCGACGACGGAAATTTTCTTGATCTGCAGAATAATTGAACCACGGCACTTTTTCCGACTGACTTGAGGATGACGTGAGGGGAGGTTTTTCCATATCCACTACAGTAGTCGGAATAATATGAGCCCGGGTTTTGGTCTCTGCAGATGGATTATTCTTCAAAAAAGAAAACAATTAACAACAGCGATGTACTATGTCTAAAACACCCTTACCTCCTTTAAAACCGAAGGAACGTTACTTTGATATGTAAATTCTTTGTTTTCAGTAGTGGTAGAGTCTTCTTTCATTTCTTGAGAACTCGGGACGCTTTTCATCGTTTTCCTCATTACTTTCCGATGAGCTGCTGATATAATGGATGATAGAATTTCCTTCTTTTCTTTTTGGTCTTTAAGATTTTCAATTTTGCTTATGTTGTCCAACAAAAGAGCTTTGCTGGATGCCATTTCAGATTCAGTCTGCGTTTCTTCTGTTGGTACGGAGGTCATGCCTAAATTTAAAGGAACCGACGGATCTTCCGAAAAGAACCAGTCCGCCTGTAACAACAATAATAAAATCACACTAAACAAACACTAAAAACAAAAACGATTAAATTCTTACGTGGCAAATCAGGGATTCGACGATCCTATAATTATGATTGATATCATTGACCATGGTGGCCATGTCATCTTCTGAAGTACGAAACAGTGTTGGGCCGAAAACGATGGCCAAGTTTTTGCCTTCCATTTTGTTGATATGCCCTTTGTCCGTGACTTTTTTCAGATGGAGCATTAGATGCTTGAGTGTGTGGTAATGATGAGGTGGAAGCTGATTAACGACTTTTTTAAGTTCTTGCATGCGCAGATAGGGATTTTCAATCTTGTCCGCTTCTATAAACTTGGAATAAAGTAGTTTCGTTAGTAGAGCGTCCGGTAATTTCCTAAAGAACGATTTCAGGAGACTGCTTACTACATGTATATCATTCCAGTGAGAGTCTGAAGAAGGAACTCCTACACCCAAAAGAAGAATATATGTTTAGCATACGTGAAGTGTTTTATTTATTATTTTTTCACCCACCATCGTAACACTGGTTGACTGCATTGGTAAGAGCCGTGATTGCTGCATTGTTACCAGGGACCCTGTAAATTCCTATGGTTTCTAAACCCTTATTCTCAACAATTTCGGTACACACTTCCACTATCCGCGGAATATACTGGTTCCTGTAGGAAGGATAGCACTGTTCCAGGGGAACTCCAAAAGTTGATCCTTCAGGAGCTACGGGGGAGCTGGGCGAACTCGCGCCTTGTATTTTACGGATTTGCTTGACCATGCGCCCCCGCCAAGTCTTCGGTTTCGGACTGACGGGCCCAACGGCACCTCCACTTCCGTCAATGGCCGAATGCGACAAGGACTTGCGAGTCTTGCTAACCGGCGACTGGCCTGTGGGCGAGCGATTGCGCAAATTAGGTAATTTTGATTTGTTCGAAGACGATGGCGATAACCTACTTGATCCTTGCACTTGGATCGTTGTGGATGCGGGCACTTGTTGCGGCACAGCCTGTTGCTTTGTAGGAGATGACAGAGGATCCTAAAGAACAAAACAAAAAAATATAGACCTTTCTTTACTCACAACACTGTCACCCGGTTTAATAGACTAACGATTTTTATTTTGTGGCTCGCCTACCATAAGCACTCTCAAGCCATCAGTGGTTTCGTAAAATAGCACGTTCCCTTCGAAAACGGGGTGCTTATATTGCGACTTCAAGATCTTCTTGACATACTTTTTCATTGTTACAGTACTCTTACAACTCTTTACATTTTTTATTATTCGTTTCTCATTTTCATTCATTCACTAAACAATTCAGCAACCGCACTAGATAACGAATACTGTAATGTACAAAAATTGTATTATCAAACACCTTAAGAGCTCATGTTATCAGATAAAGTTTAATTATCGTCATAATTACAGATGGAACGGAAAACAGAGAGAGATAGGGAAACGATATAGTTGTAGAAAATGCCACTAACATTTAGTTTTTTGATGCTGTAAGTAGTAAATAAGGAGGAAAAAATGAAAATTACTCACAATTTTTTCTTCAACATCTGTCGTCGCTGCCACTTGCTCCTGGAGCGCTTTGACCCAATCGGCCAGATCGAGTGTGTTGTCCGCCTGGAGCAGAATCTCTGAGCGGCACGGTAATGCCGAGGACACCCGGAGGACGTGCTTCCTCTTGGTGTAGTCTTCTGCGACACGCACGCAACTCGCTCTCATGTCCACGCCGTTCGATAACGTTTGATCGGCGGAATCGGATGGACTCTGAATGTCAAGAAAAGTTCGATAAATAAAAAGGACAAAGCAAAAAGACTAAATGACGGGGATGGCTCGTTCATCGCTCGTGAGACAATAACCATGGTAGTAAGTAGTTAGTGAAATCGTTGGCTGATCTTGGCACTGAAGGAGGCCATTTATTTTTAGAGGGCTGCCAACAACACGCACACACACAAAAATAAATCTATGTATGTAAGGACATCTCTCAATCTATCTATCTTTTTGTCTGTCGTCGACGCGTTTCTATGTACGTGTACTTATGAATGACAAATGAATCACTTTACTTTTGTTACAATTTAGCGACGAAAATCACGAGAGGGAAACAAAAACTAATAAAGAGAATGCAGTTATTTTTAGTGAACATAAAATTAAATATTTACGCTTTAATAAAAGGCAAACAATTCCCTTTATCTACCATTACATACCCATGACCTAACTGAATGGGAACTCCAGGGAAGAAGTTTTTTATACAGGAATTTGTGTCCAGGAAAATGAAGGTGTATCGGCGAACATGTCCCATGAACAGACCTATTACTGCACTTTCCTGCACTTAAAAGATTACAATCTACGTTTTCCAGCATTTTCCTTTTTCGAAATCATCAACAACGACAAGTAACAAATCCTTAATATCTTAATATTATGTTAACACCTGCGGACAATCGCAACACAAAACTACATCGAATTGTTTAATAAAAACTACCAAAACTAATATTAACACACTCGTCGGTAATGTTATTTATTATTCGTCGAGCACTCGCGAAAAACAACTTCCGCACTAAATGGAATTGTGTTTCCTATTGCTGGCAAAATATCAACACAGCGACCCGCCGACTGATTCAATATTTCCTTTATTGTACTTTTTTGTTAATTTGTGCACACGCTTGCAAAAATAATGTATCAAAGTACAAATCGGGGAATGCATTCAAAAGCTTCGCTGGGCGAAATAGAAACTTCTTCTGTGCATATAGGTACAATACATAATGCAATTCTTAATTGATGACTAATGGCCAAAAGGGTGTAAAGGTTTATTTAAACTCGATAAGGAGTCAGATGGTTAAATTTTAATTTTATTACATATTATTCGTTGGATGGTTTAGACGATGGACAAAAGATAAATATTTTAATCTTTACAATCTATTGTTACTTATTGTGATTGATAAATACATATTTTCTATTGTTTACATGCTGTTTACTACGTAATCTGTTGCTTACTGCAATTGCGGTGCCAAAATATGTACACAAAAGTAGATGTACGTATAAATTATCATTTTAAATAATTATTTCTACGATATAATCATCCGTTATTTAATATACCAATTTTTTATTACACCTCCCTCTCGTACGTTTGCGTATTCCCAATAAGTCGAACGAATGTCTACACATAATTTTTACCGGATATTAAATAATCACACACATGCCAACTACGGTATGTTGAACTTTGAGACCAAGCAATAATTATAGAAAAGAACAGGAATGTTCATCGCAAAAAAAATCGTAAACAGGCAGACTGACAGGTACAACAAAATATGACATTGTTCATTTTTACAACAAACAGAAGTTTTGAACAAAAACAAACAAGTTTACTTCCTAAGAAACTATCGTAACATTTTCGTTTTTCGTGTTTACAGAAACTATTGTTTTGAGTTTTTGTGAATATTGATCGAACCTTTATAATTAATAACAAAAATGCTATTGTTTTCAATAAGTTGACATATTTAATTTACGGAGAATATCGAACAGGAAGGGGCTAAAAATTTTATTTGTAAAATATTCACATTGTTTTGAACATGGTTCGGCGTTAGAACAACCTAAGAATTTCGAAACTTAATTCATAATTGGTTAGGACGATCTTACAAAGAAATATTAGTTCGTTATTCCCATTCGAAACCGTCCGCTCAATCCGATCGTTCGTTACATCGAAGTACGAACAACACGTGTCCAAATGAAATGTAATTTCGTTCTTCAAATTTCGCTTGTTAAAGTCGAGCGTTTGTTATAATCCATGTTTGTTGTAACCGAGTACTTGAACTAAACATGTTTTAAAACAATTGCAATACAATTCTAAAATAAAAATTAATAAATCGTATGAAATTTGAGCACAGGTAATTCCGTAATAAACAACAATCTTTNTTCTAACAATTACAATACCCGTTTGTTATAATCCATGTTTGTTGTAACCGAGTACTTGAACTAAACATGTTTTAAAACAATTGCAATACAATTCTAAAATAAAAATTAATAAATCGTATGAAATTTGAGCACAGGTAATTCCGTAATAAACAACAATCTTTTGTGAGACCGTCTATTTAAAAACCAATTGTTCAAATTACCATAAAACATTGTTTTAAGTACGTATTACCTATACATTTTTATTTTTATTAACAAATTAACTATTTCAATAACGTTTTGTTAATTTTCAATAAATGAAATGCAAATAATTTAAAAATTTACAATACCAAGGTACTTTTTATCAATTTCCACCTCAAAATAATGAGCTTTTCGATCCTATCCTTCGATAGGTACTATCACCCCATTTTTGTTTAAAACAATATATAGTTACCCATGATCCCGCCGACCCCCATCTTTTCAACTTTTTAGGGAAAAATCCTTGAGACGAAAAGTTCAATTGTAACGGGATGCAAGACACAGTTCCTGACCTCTCCCTATCGTTGAACGACAATATTCTCGGCTGCTCCAACATTTTCATTCAGTGCCTAACTATACGTTCAACTTTCAAAAGTACGTGACTGCTTCATCGTAAATTAATGATTATTTTTATTAGAAAACTTTCATCAGACACATTTACGAGTCAGTTGTTGTCTTTAATTCGCCGAAAAATAATAAGTGACGACCGCACTCCTATATTTAGACATAAGAGGCATTAAAATGCTCCGTTATGATTTCGGTTTGGGCGAAATTTTCACTTGCACTTTCACTAATGTTGCATTTTTATTATACCTACAAGATGACGACAACTTGGCGTCTACCTATAATAAACTCGCGGTTCGGATGCAACTCTATAAGGCGGAGATCTTCGATTTATCGCGTAAAATACCGGTTCTCTCAAGTTCAATTAGGCCTCTATCTTTTAATCGAAGTCAAGGATCTGAAATCAATTATTAATTCTTGAGACTACTTTCTCGCATGCTTATTAAAAAACATTGAAAATTTACTACAGTCCAAACCATAACGTTACATTTATTCGTAGGTACTTCTTAAAATTTCCAAAAACAATTAACATTTTTTATTAAACTATAGTTTTATTCCTCGCACTTAACGACTTCACCGCACAGCTGTTAATTTTGTTTGATTTTTGGTACGCATTTTTCACCGGTTTCGCCGTCAAACGCCGAAATTTAGTCCATTTGCCGTAAGGAGTGCGAGCAAAGCGCGTGTCCTCGCCGTGCGAGAACAGGATACGCGAAAGCCTTCTTCGAACCCGTCCCGTTCATTTTATTCGCCTCCCTGCTCGGGGCTCGGCCAGAGTGCGAGCATACAGTCGCGTCGCTACACTCAACAGGTTGGACTAGATTTTCAAGTACGCGCACCGATGACGATCTAATAAAATTGCAAAAAAAGGACAATTACATTGCCACATTTCCTTTTGGAATCGACAGGAATCGGTACAATAGTTAAAAGACACGCACAATCAAAAAAAAAAAAAAGAAAACTGAACAGCGAAAAACAAAATTACAATAAACCTTTTTAGTTTTAATAATCACTTTTAATTAATCATTTGATTTGATTTTTCTTCTTAATGTACTTTTATTAACTTAGTTAACGTATATTTAAATCTATCTAAAAATGAAGATTCATCAAAGTCGAAACATTAAACAGTATTATACATAGCGTATTTCGTAATCAAATTCAGTCAACGGCATAACAAAACATGCGCTGACCATTGTTCGAAAGTGAAACTACTGCAGTTGTTACTTTGTTTACGGTTTGGTTGTTTCTTCATCCGCGTCATCCGTGAGTCTGTTCCTTGTTTTCTTTTTTTTTTTTCTTAGACACGAACGGGGCGATTATATTTTGTAACTCCTCGCTGCGGTGTTCCGGACGTAATTGAAAATCCGCGTACTTAATTAATTAATTACATGAACAAGAGACTATTACGAAAGGTGAAAATATAATGAAAAATGATTTAACGTCATCATCATAAGGTCGTCAGCCCTAAACTAGTTGGATACGCATCTACGTTGCTTCCTATCCTGAGCTAATCTTTTCCCTAAAACTAGAACATCCCACATCCTTAACTATTTGCGAACAGTAATCTAATCTAAGTCTATCTCAACTCCTCTTAACTCCTATTTCTGTCTCTGACTAGCCCTTCATGCCTGAGTGTCCTACCAATCTATCTTGCCTATTTCTTATTGATCTCCATGGAGGTTCTAATACCTCTTCATTTCTAACCTCTATATCTAATTCTAATCTATTTATCTCAACTTTCAAATTTTCTAATTTCCATGCCTGCCTCATTGTCCTAACATTCCACGGTACCCACGCTTTGACTCGTGGAATATTGCACTTTCCCCTGTGACAACCCCCAAGGTAGTCCCCGCCCGGACATCGGAAAAAGGGACTAGTTTACGTCTGGAGTGTTTTACACCAGAGTACGTCATCATTTGAGTTCGATTTGTTTTTCTTGGGATATCATAATGTGGTGGTTTCCCGTTACCTTCCACATTGCAGTATTGTGCATCAGAGTGCCCTCTTTCAGGAACTTTTTTAGCTTGGTTTCTCTTTAACAACCCTCTCACCCCCATTATGTTTGTACCTATGGTCTTACTCCCTAAATAATCGAACATCCATGACAAAACAAAATTGTTTGTTTTTCTAACAATTACAATACCTTATAAAATTCTTCTATATATAACTTCATCAAAAAGAAAACTACTTTTAATAGAGCGAAAAATGTCGTGGTTTTTCAGTTTCGCAATTACTTTGATGGGTACCAATCTATAACAGTCGCACTTTATTCTACTGTG